ATTTTTGAAAACAGAAGAATTGGGAATAGGGTTTTTGTAAATTGGTCCAAATTTGAATTTCAAAATTCATAACAGACGTAAATAATCGATTATCTTGAGTGATAATTGATTATTCCAGAGCCATTTTCGCAGAGGAACAAAACTGGACCAGGATAATCGATTATCTGGCCAAATAATCGATTATTTGCCTGTGATAATCAATTATCCTGAGTGATAATCGATTATCACAGTGAGCTATTCCTGAAAACAATTTCCTTGCTATAACAATCGATTATCCTGAGTGATAATCGATTATCACAGTGTATTTTTTATAAAAATGAGTTTTTAGAGGTTTTAAAGGATGGTCTATGTGCTGGCTATCTTGGACTTTAATATTACAGACTCAAAAACATAAAAACAGAGTTATTTTATAAGATTACAAGTCTTCAAATCTCTAAGTCCTGTGTTCTTGAATCATCATCAAAATATGCAAGCTTCATATCCTTGTATGGTTAACAATTGTGGGGTGCTAACACCTTCCCCACGCGTAACTAACTCCCTTACCTGACTCTGGTTATAATGACCAAAGTTAGTTTTCTTAACCAATACTTTTTTTATCCTTTTTTAATGTTTATGGTTAAAACATTGGTGGCGACTCCATAAAACCCATTTTTGCGAAAACCTCACTTTTAAGGATAATTCGATTATTGAGTATCCTAAAATTGATCACCACATTATTTTACGAAAATGTGAGTTTCAGCCATCGCGTCACGACCGCTCGTACATTTTGTCCCCTGCACGGGGGACAGCGGCGACAGGAAGTCATAGTCCTTCAAGAACTCCATCCACCTCTTCTACCTCATATTCAACTCGTTTTGGTTAAATAAGTACTTGAGACTCTTATGATCACTAAACACAAGGAACTAAGCACCATAAAGATAATGCCTCCAAGTCTTCAATACAAACACAACAGCTACTAACTCTAAGTCGTTTGTTAGGTAATTTCTTTCCTGAGTCTTTAACTGCTTGGAAGCATATGCCACCACCTTCTTCTCTTGCATCAACACACATATAATACTTGTTCTTAATGGTCAACTTGTTCAGCCATCGGTAGTCCACACATAATCTAGATCTCTTATCCCTTTTATTTACTTGTGAAGTCAAAGCTCTCTATGACGATACATTAGGTTTAATAAATTGTTCTTTAACCACTCCTCCACTTGCTTCTACAATTCCAATAACTCAATTAGATTCATTTTTGTATGAAACCATTGACACTGATCCTGACCCTAGTACCATGTCAATAAGATACTCTACTTTTCTCTTTAGAGGTAGTCTAGGTACTTCCTCTCAAAAAACATCAAGAAATTCTCTCACTATCGATACATTAATTTTTTTTTTTTTTTTACTCCCACCATCAACTTCTAGTATAAGAATAACAATAAACTTGCTCTTTTCTTCATCTCATTTCATGTTTGTTGTGCAAACAACAACTCTTCTTCCAATGGGTCTGGAAACACAATTTTCTACTAGTCACAACCTACGAGAATATAATTGATAACTAAGCAATTTAGCCTAAGACCTCACCTAAATTCCGTAGAGATAGGAAGATCAAGTTGATCTTCAATCTACATCCTTCTATTATCATAGTGCATCCTACAAAAACCAAGGATATTGGCATCAACCTAGATGATGTTGTCAACACTAACAATTCTAACAGAAGCTATAAAAAATATCTTTTTCCATGCACATTTTTTACATAAAAAAGTGTTTCACTCTAGAATTACACAACACTTATAAACTTGTATTAGATATGAAACATAAACCTTACATCAAACTATAGAGAATTGACATTTAAGGGAGGAATAAATCTTTGACCAAGTCCTCAGTGTGCACCCTCACAACTCTATCAGAATTCATTTCTCTTTTAAAATGTTCATCTTAGGTAACTTATCCAAACAAGTCAATGCTCGTCTAAACAAAAGAAAATAATAAAATAAAGGGTTTATGTGTCATCCTAAACAACACAAGAACACGCGTTAATAAAGAAAATATATAAACAATCTTACTTACATTTTTAAAAGATCACAAAAAAACTAATAACTACAAAAACAAGGTCAACTACACAACCAAAGCATAGTAAATTCACTCCCCTCAGATCAACCTTGGACACGACATGCTTTGATACCATTAATGTAACAGCCCCAATAACTATACATACCGTATATATATATATATATATATATATATATATATATATATATATATATATATATATATATATATATATATATATATATATATATATATATATATATATGAGATGCACAGAGTAATTTAAAATATAAATTCCCTCTACTTAGGGAAATATATTTATACATATATGTTACTTCAAAAATAACACAAAATATAAATATATACTACTTTTAACTCCAGACCTACTCCTGCTGAGGTCTATCACCTGAAAAATATCCTCCCGTAAACACACGATCATCAAGGTTAAAAACACATACAAAATACACGGGGTAAGCTAGTAATTCAATTTAAGTATGCAAGATTCAAATGTGAGATAAAACAACATAATTTAACTTCAAGTTTTCATATATCACATCACAAACTCATACAGGCTCATATTGTCAACATTCATATTTGAATAAATAAATCAAGTACCACAACTATACAACAAATCAAGTGTCTAACATCTCAGCATGTAAGTTGCATCTCATCATCATTCACTGACTTTCACAATCATAAACAATTGACTCTACTTCTAGAAGACTCTCATGTATTGAATTAGACTTAGAGATTTGAACCTGTCACACTACCTTCCCTAAGTAGATATCTCCGACATTGGTACATAATTGGAACACATTCCTTCATGTGATAAGGAAAATCCCTATAACTTTTTAGATACAGTTCTTTTTCATACCACAAGCTTAGTCATAGAGACCTCCTTCAACTTTCACCACTTGATACTTTTCTCTACATGAGTCCAGTATCAGTAAAGTTAGGATATCTCATTCAAAATCCCAAATTCAATACATTACCTATATCTCAACATAGTATCTCCTCCTTGAAAATTACTATATTAACTTCATCAATTCATCACAGAGATAGCATACATATAAGGATAATACATGATATTTCTCACATTACAATAATATATTTTTTTCTATACATATATTAGCATCCAATACACATTATTTCATGTTCATAACATGTATTTTGATAGCTTAAGGCACGTACATATCATTTCTCACTTTATAACAAAACATAATTTTTTTTCTAATTTGACCTCTACCTATTCTTTTGATTTTAACTTTTTCTATAGACATTCTTTTTAATTAATTTTTATTTTACTGGATTCCTTATTTCTGGGACTTCAATTTTCATATATAGAACATTAAATTTTGGAGTTTATAGCTATTTTTTATAATTTTTCGAAATATACTGAGCAAATCTGAAAGCATTGAGCGAATTTCAAAGTACTGAGCAAAATTTTGACAGAATAGAACTTCTAACACTGTCCAAAATTTGCTTGGCGGTTTTGAAAGAGCTGAGTGAATTGCAAGTGCTTTCAACACTGTCTTAAATTTGTTGAGTGAATTTAAATCCGCTAGGTGGATTCGTAACAATAGAGACTGCATAATCTACTCAATACTCTATTACAACTATGAAAATTGAAGATTTACTAATTGTCCTTACCTTCCAATTTTAGTGTTCTCAAGCTTGAAAGCTCCAATTAACAAATCAAACCTACTATAATGCTCATAAGCTAGTCAATAATCATTTTTATCCCACCTCAGTCACATGTAAGACTCAAATACACACATGCAAATCTTAGCCCCAAATTTGTAAAATTAATCTAAAATTAAGGAAAGAAAAACTTACTCTATTTAAGATTATGATCGGATGGAAATGTTTTTCTCGCCGCTAGGAGCATAATGATGTACTTAGATCTAGAAAAATATAAGAATTGGGTAAAGAACTTTTTTAAAATGTGAAAATTTTCTATTTAAACTATTTTTATCGCACAAAGTAAACTTCAAACTTTTACTTCATTTAACTATTATTTCTCTTTAAACTACTAACGTCATCTTGATCCTTACATGTCCTATCCAATTTTTTCTCTACTCATTATATTTATCATATTTTCTTTTTTTATAGTTTTTTTAAATATATAAAATATAATAAATATTTTTCTTATATTATTTCTTTTATTTTATATACATTAATATATTTGATAAAAAATAATACTATATTACGATAAATAAAATAGTTTAAAAAGATTACAAGCGAAAATTCAAACACTAAAACCTCCCCGTTTTTATATATTACTTTTTTTGAAATATTTTTTAAATTTATTTTATTTTTATTTACTTTAATTACGTTTTTATTTGTGCACGTGATGTGACCCATATTTAAGTCTAAATCTCACCAGGAATACTATAACTTTAATGCAAAATTAGTTTAGCATTAAAATTAGTTTTGAAGTTCAACTATAAAGCAAGCTAGCTTTGCAGTTGAAAGACATTGTTGAGAAATAATTAATTATTACTTAAAATTAATAAACAAAGTTGCTTGGGGTATAGTAACACATTTTTTTAATAGAACTTTCATTATTTTTTATCATTGGTTATATAAAAATTATTAAAAGAATTATAAAATTAAAAGTACATTTTAAACAAGAATTGAAAGAGCTTTTGCCTTTATGAGAGAAGGGGCAACCAAAATAAGAGAAAATAGAATTTACAAATCAGACCATAGTTGCAATTTTGACCATTGCAGTGGTTTTCAAATCTTTACATCACCTAAAAGCTACAGTGTAAAAGTGAAGAAAAAAGAGTCATGGACCCATGATACAAGCAAGCAACGGGCATTATTGCTCCATTATGTGTGTAAATACAACTTACAAAACTTACAAACATAAACCCAACAAAATATTATTGCAAAAACTCTCCATCTAAAAAATTGAAAGAAGCAAAAAATCACCCTTTCAACGTTCCATATAAATAACATGTTTACTTTCTACTACCAGTTTTACGTTTCATGTCAACTGGAGCTGGATGTCTTCCTGTTCGATGTAAGGCACCGTTTGGTTGTTTTCGTGAAGGTGAAGGACCAAGAGAAGAAGGGATGTTATTCTTGCTGCAAAAATTGCATGAATGAAGTTATCAGAATGCATGTTTCTTTCATCTTCATTTTTTTAAAAAATGCAGGAAAGCATGACTATGTAAACTCAACTAAAGGAATTATAGTATTACATAGACTATGTAAATTTTTTTATAAAGAAGCATTCTCAAGACCCTTTTTGCATTACCTCAATCCTGGGCTATTTGATGGCTTTGAGACGGGTCTCCTAGCCTTTGATCCATTACCATTGGCTATGCTGGTAAGTTTGGAATGATTAAATTGCCAAAGCAAGTCAGGTTCCGAGGAATCCGTGGTTGTATCGTCAAGATCATCCATGTCGTCTGAACCAGCAATGTTGCATTGGTTGCCCCCCATGAACATATTGTAGGATCTTTCAGAGTACATTTTGGAAGAATCTTGAAGATATTTCTGATAAAAGACCTCGGATAAGTTCCCACTGTCTGCTTCCCAACAGCCTAAGATGTTGTCAGTTTTGTTTGCATCTTGCTTGTTTACCATGACTTTATCAACCCACTCTCCAGAACCAGTTTCTTTGTCATCTTCCCGGAAGTTTTGTCCAGGATTATTCACTGGTGGCCAGGGTGGTGAATTCGTAGACATCTCATCAAAATCATAGCTTTGAGTTTTTTGTCTCAACGGGTTATTACTGTGAAGCTGCAGGATCGATGGTTAAAATTCCATCAGTGTTGAACAAGCGATAGGTAAATTGGTTCTTCAGATTCATGCAACTGTTAGGGCAGTTGCATAGTTTTGAGGATCCAGCTGTTTGTATTGAAGCGTAAATTTGTAGGAGGGGCTATGTACATTTTACTAATTTTGAGGATCTCTTGTATACTTTTATCAAATAAAACATGTTCTTTTCCAAAATTATCTCAGTATTTATGCTCTGAAAATTAAGGGGACTACTATTTGCTACACATCAAAACATTTTTGGCAAAGTGCAGGAAATTAGAATACTGATCAAAACAGAAAACAATGAAGTATACATACCTCTATGTTGCCAACATCAACCATTGGTTGCCGGCATCCTAGGGGATCGCTCGCAATATCTACACCCCGTTGGTTTGCATGATAAGGTGATAGCTCACTAGCCATTGTCCTATATTTTTCAGAGCTTCTAGATAAAGAATGTTCAGATTCGCTGTCCTTTCGTGCCAATGCTGCCTTGAGGCTGGCTATCTGAAACATTGTTCATAAATTTAGCTTAACTGAAGTGCTAAGACTTTCTAAGATTATTATGAACAGCCACAGCAGTCAAATTTGAATATCAACCTGTTCTTTGAGTTCTTTGACATCTGTCCGGTCCTTGTTTACTCGAGCAGCACCAAGTTCAACAGTGCCAACCCTTTCTGCAAACTTTAAGGTGCTGATTGTTTCTCCAATAGCATCGACCTCAGGACTTATGTGAACAAACATTAGTGTCTTGGCCTGTCCTCCTGAAATAAACGCCAACCAGCATGATGACATAATCCAATTGGGGAAAATTGTGAAATCCAGGAATAGAAGAGTTGTCTGAAAGGCTTGAAGCAAACTAGCTTCTTAAACCTTACCAAGTGAATCTTGGAGTAGCTGTGTGAGTTTGCTATTTCTGTAAGGGACATGTTGGTTTTTCTGCGCAAGGGAAGCAATGACATCACCTAAAGCTGAAAGAGATTTGTTAATATGCTGAGCCTCTTTCAACCTGTCTCCTGTGGCCTCAGATTTGTCAACTCTCTCACTTCCAGCCAAGTCAACCAGATGCATGCATCCACGTAGGATAGTTCCAGATGTCAAATCTCTTCCTTGAACATGCACAGTCAAGCAACTGCCAATTTGATAATTTAAGAAGCCAATTGTTAATTGTTTCATTTAAGAAAAACACAATATATAAATATATAAAAACAAGAGTGGATGTCAAAACAATGAATAGGATATACCTGTGGGATCGGCTACTACGGTCATTAAGGGCTGTTGCCCCAACTGCACGATTCCTTTGGCCAAGGTTCATTAGTTCAATGACATCTCTTGTTGATGATACTGGGACTAAGCATGCATCTGGTACACTGAGCCCTCGATAAGAATTACTACGAATTTCCAACGTAATAAATCGTTAAGGGAAAGCATCATCAGTAAATGTTGTTTTCATCCTATGCTTAACAAACCGATATTAAAAAAATTCAATGCAGAAGTCAATTATATATCTATCCTAAAATATTTAAGGTAACAGCTAAAAGGATATCTTTTGTTTGATCCATCAGTAACCAATAAATCTCTGACTTGCTCATTATAAATCTCAATCATTTGAACAGACACATCATAGCAAAAAGTGTCTCTTCTTTGATCTGCTGTAAGAAACAAATCACTGAGGGCCCTGTAATTTACTCCTTGACTTTTCTCTGTGATCTCTTTCGGTCCAGTCTACAAGAAAAAAAGAAAAAAACCATAATAAATAAGAAAAAGTCATTAGAAGTAAAAGTTTTTTTAGGTGACAACTGACAACTAAGCATAACTTACCATTGTGTAAGTTTTTCCTGATCCTGTTTGACCATAAGCAAATATGCAAACATTGTAGCCATCAAGAACAGACCTAATGAGTGGCTGCATATCAAAGAAGACCTCCGCTGAACACAAGAAGACAAAAATTTATCAATCACTAAGATATAGTGATCCTAAGATAACTGAAATAGAAAACCAAACCAACCTTGCGAAGCAGCTGGTCCAAAGACTTTGTTGAAGTTGAAGGATCTACGCCCTTTCCCATTCTTTGAAGGAACACCAATTGTGATAGTTCCATCTTCTATATTATCCACTGTGCTTGAATAAATTGGTTGTGCAGATAGGAAGGGTCTTACTCGACAGTACACCCTAATACTTCCTGATCAAACAAAATTAACCATCTTTTATTTTGAGACAAAATCCTTACAAAGGTGTGAATGGGATATAATTCATAATAAGCTTAAAGCAGCCCGTGAATCAGAGCAATTTACCCTTAAGATCCTGGACTTGATTGTATAGTTTGCGATTTTCTTCAAGTACTCTATGATATCCAGAAGCAGCATGAGCTAAGCCATGAACGTGCTTGCCTATAAAGAGAAATGGAAAATCAGATAAGATGCAGCACCTCATCCACCAAAGATAAAGCAAATTAGAAAGGAATAAACCAATACAGAAAAGAATTTAAAATAAATTAATCGGAAGCAAAATATTACCTAGATTGGAGAACTCCTCGTGAAACTTGATTTGCAGGAACTGCATACCTGCTTTTGTGGTGTGAATTGTATGCTTTAGTGCCTATAAAAATATACAAGGCAATATTTATAACTAATAAATAAAATATTGCAAAGTTCAAAAAGATTAATATTTTCTTAGCTGCTCCTTACTTGAATATCTCTTTGCTGCTGATCAAAGAGCACTTGCTGCTTCAGAAGTTGCCTTTTCGATTCTTCATCGTCAACACGGTTTTTATGGAGGAGTCCTTCTTTCTTTGTTACTGTAGGTATCTTGTTTTCCATCTAGTCGATTAAAAACTAGACATTAAGCATTTTCGTCTTTCATGAAGGTCCTCGAATATATTAAGCTTGGGATCAGTACTATTACCTTTTTATCTCCCATAACAAACTTTGATACGGATCCATTGCCTTGGGACGCAGCACCTCTTAAGATTTTTGCCTGGAAATTACACTATAAATAAATAAACCAAGAACACAGATTGCCTGAATGGTCAACTAATAAGTTTGTCTTTCATGCTAATGGAATCATGTAAAGGACAAAAACTTACGCAATATCACCTGAAAACAATGATATTATACATTACTAAAGGGAAAGTATTGTACCTGTTCTCCCTGGCTCGCAATGCGATGCTCAAACTCCTCTACGACCTTGTTCAAGACTGACTCAACTAACTGTTCAACGGATAAGAAAAATGTAAGTTAAAGCAAGTAATCTCAAAAACTCACTAGCATTACAAATAAACAAGTTTAAATGCGTGAGTGCAAGACTAGTTGATAACGTAACGCTTACAACATAATGTTGGAATTCAATTTCAAAGTCTAAAAGACTTAAAAACCATTTGTCTATCTTAATAAATAAAATATTTTGTGAAATACAAAATAATGTAGCCCCTTACCAATGGAACTTCTTCGGGCTTCTTATCTAATAGTACTGCACGAACAAGCATACTCAAAGAAGGAGACCCAGACTGCATGTGTAAAAATGGAAAGAAAAATTCATTTAGTTATTATTTTTGTTCAACTAGACAAATCCAGAGAACAGGTAAATGCCAAAAGTAAGCTTACATACCATTTTATTGGACTCAATATCAGATGTAAGAGCAGTCACGGATTTTTCATTGACGGATGAGTTCCTCGACAAGGAATTAGTAAATGGCTCAGAGTTTTTTCTCACAAAAGATTTTGCGGAGATGGTGGGTTTGACAGTTCCCCCAAATTTCCACACACCATTACTCCCAGTCTGTTTCCATTCACTGTAGGACTTAAGGGCTAAGACGCTGTTCACAATCCTGGCTGTTTTTCCTCCCTAAACACAAATCATTAATTTAGTAGAAAACCAACACAAAACATTATCAAACTTCCAAATTCCATGTTGCTAAGTCCCAATAAATTATCTGTTGTTGTGTCATTAACAATTTGGTTCACCATGATACATTGGTTACTCAAAATTTTGAAACCGTAATATGTCCGTGGTTCTTTACTTACTTGTTCAAGATCAGATGTCTCAAAGGTCGGAATTCCAATTTCCTGTACAGCCACCACAAAGTTCCTCACGTTTTCAAAATACTGATATGCCGATAAGGGTGCTCCATCAGGGAGTAGTGCAGAAGCAACAGGACTCTCCACAACCTTTAAGAATAATACAGAGTTTACATTAGCAAACAAGCAACATCTGCAAATAAACTGAGTATATAAAAAAATTAAGACCATGCTCACCTTAGGTACAGCCCCAGGTTGAACCTTATTAAGAACATTACAGAGAATGATCCCACTTCTCAAACCAAGCCTAAACTCTTCCTCGGAGGGCTCTGCTGGCAAATCTTTAGCTGCAACAACTCCAACCATTTTCCTCAGCCACCCTGCTGCTTCATACCTTCTGAATGCTGCATTTTAAGTACTTTCAATCTCAGGATAACAAATACAAAAACGAGATTGCTATTTTACAAGAAACTGACATGCATCAAGCCGTTAACAGCCTTCAGTAAACGAAAAACAATCATAGAGAAAAGGGATTATAATTAACCACATTATTGGAAAAACATGACAATTAATCAAACATTACCACGAAAATGCATAGAAACCGGAATTAAAAAACTGAATATTGACAAAATCCCAGAAAAAAATAACGGGAAATTACCAGCTTCTTCTGCTTTTCTAGATTCCAAATCAAGATCTTTGAGACGAGTGCCGTGTTGCTGAAGCACATCTTCCACCACGGATGCCACTGAAAACGACAATGTCGCCATAACAAACAACACCAAACGCTAACCGAGCCTTAACTTAACCTCTCTATCTCCCACCAGAGACTGTGCTCAACAACTCAACTCATCAACATTGTCCTCACTAGAGAGCTGGATACCACAGCACCCAAAAAGAAAAATGAAAGAATATTGATGAGGAGCAACAGAGAAGAAATAAAGAGATAGAACAAAAGTGGAGTCTCTTCTCTCTCTCACACTCACTCTCTTTATGTCTCTCTGATTTTAACACTTGATGATGATTATTATGATGACGATGGCGTTGAGTGTTGCTGAGGTTTCTTTGTTACCAATTCAAACACAGAGATTCGTTTGGTTACCTTTGCTTTTTCTCTTTCTCTGTACAGATACAAAGGGTACTGAAACAACGCAGATACTTCTTCCTCTCTCTTTTGTATCCCCCTTTATACTCTCCACGCTGTTGCTTCTCACCTTCCCATGCCTCAACTCCAAACCTCTCTATCTTCCGAACCTCTCCACGTTCGTATGTTTTAAACTTTAATAAAAACTACTAATGTTTTCTTTTGTTTCCTAACTCCGTTGTGATTTCCATCTTGTTTTCTTTCACTTCATATCAAGGCGCGTACACTTCAACCTAGGAAACTGCAATCTCTTGGGACACCTGATTTTCTAAAGCTAGTTTTTCATATTTTTCAACACAAAAGGATTTTTTTGTTGGATATTTTTAAAATCCTTTCAGATTCGGCTTGTGAATCCATACTTCTAAATCAATCATGATTTTTTGGTAAATTTTGTTTAAGAAAGAAAGCAAAACCCACATCTCTAAACAAATAAGTCACATTCTTCAAAAGAAATTAATGATAAATAAAGATAATAAATACTTCCTATCAATAGCATAATTTTAAGAAAATATTTATTTTAAAATCATTTAACTAAATTTTTTTTTAAATTAGAGTAATAATCCATAGACATCCTTTATTTTAAACACCTAAATAACATACAAATATTTTCTAATCCATAATATGTTTATGTTTCTTCTCCGAGTAGGTGTAATCATATATTTATGTTTTCTAATCATATATAATTTTTCTTTAAATTATATATAAATACTTAAAAAAATGTGAGATGAATAAAAAAGTTCATGATATAAACAAAATATTTTCTTTTCATGCAAATTTAAACGGATGAAAGTTTTTCTTTTTTCTTTTTTTTTTTAAATCGGCATATGACAAGGAGTACCATGAATAATTATCCTGTTTTAGCGTTTTTTTAGGTACTTTCTGGTCCAACTTTATTATTTTGAAAGGATACTGGTCCAACTTATGCACATGAAAAAAGGTTTGCCAGTGTTGTGTTCCCTTAGAATTATCTTCATTTTTTCCCCCAGTGTCTAGTTTAAGGACTTATTTAGAAAACAAAAACATGAACATTGAATTGTTGCAGAACCAAAGTGCTCATAGGGTCCCTGATCTTAATACTAGTATGTTATATAGGTTGTTCTTGTTGTTGAAGTCACAATCTCTTTTGCTCTATAATTTTTGTTAAACAAATTGAAGTGTATAGTTTATAATATGATGGTATGATGAGAGTCACTTAATGCCACGACCATTGAGATGACCCTCCTTATTATTGTTTATAATCTCATGGCCACGCAGAAAGAAGAGGGGAAAAAAATATAATCAAGGAAAAGGAAAGTGGTGTACTGTTCCCTGCCTAACTTAACTTAGAATAAAATCCCTCCTTTGGGATTCAAAAGAAATATTCAAACACTCAAAAAATTCTCATTGAGAGAGAAGTTGGAGGTGGTTGAGTTTCATGCTCATCCACAAAACACCACCTTAAGTCAATCAACTTTGTTTGAAACAATTATTTTGCTCTCTGATTTCAAAATGCAAGAATTGAGTAGGTCCCTGTATTTCTGTTAGAATTTTAAATTAATCATAGTTTTATAATCCTAACTTTAAGATGTTCTTAATTGGCTTTATGACTGTGACTAGAGTGACAAAATCACTTATTAGTAACGTGAGGATTGTATAATTTAACTAAACCAACTTTTGTTTTGATGAATTGGAATTTTTTGTGGATATATGTTGAGTGAGTGTAGTGTCATTGTCTGATGTTATGCATCTGGTTTTTCTCTTACTAAATTATCACATCATAACGCACAACAAAATCATACAAAATTCAACATTTTCAAGTTTCGAAATTACGAAAGTTGATTGTGAATAAAAAGGTTGCAAACTTTCACGTTAGTTTTCTCATAATCTTTTACAATAAATAATAACTCCATTTTATTAGACAGAACGTCTTTGTCGGTTAGTGAAGTAGTTGTTAGAATACAAGCCGGCAATTTTAATCAATTAAAAAACACAATCTTATTATTAATCATTATTTACTGTTTTTAAGATACTTATTAGGAAATTAGTAGATAATTTTTTTATTAAAATATATACTCAAAGTTTATTGCATTTAACATGAGATTATGTTTATTGCATCATTACCAACGTTACAGGATTAAGAAAAGGGCAATAAATATTGTAACGTATGGTGAGAAGTAATAGAATCTCATCAATAAGGTATAAAATAAGAGGGTAAATAAACTAAATAAATCAGTTGTTAATGAAAAATAATAGTTGGTAAGAGTTTATTTAGATTATTTACTTTATCTTTATTTAATATATATGATTCGTATTCAAACTTATATTCTTTTCCATAATCCAAACTTTTTTTGGTAAATTGTTTACTAACGCAAGATATGTAATTACAAGTGATTAATTGTCAATGCTTGCCATATATAAAAAATGTTACACAATATATATATATATATATATATATATATATATATATATATATATATATATATATATATATATATCATTTAAATTATTTTAGTCATAGACATAATAGACATAAAAGTTATAAGGACTTTGTTTAAAAAAATTAGCATAGAAACAAACTTTAAAATTTAGTGAAAATATATGAATTTATAGAATAATTTAACCTAAAAGTAAATAAAAAACACATTAAATATTTTAATAATTTAAATTGATTATATTGTAATAAATGTTCCTATCAAATTAGCATAAATTTAATTGTAATTCATATTCATAAATTTAACCATTTATTGTCATATAACTGAAAGAGTTAATCTCGTATAAATAATATTCACACTCAGATAATTGAATTAATAATAATAATAATAATAATAATAATAATAATAATAATAATAATAATAATAATAATAATAATAATAATAATAATAATAATAATAATAATAATAATAATAATAATAATAATAATAATAATAATAATAATAATAATAATAATAATAATAATAATAATAATAATAATAATAATAATAATAATAATAATAATAATAATAATAATAATAATAATAATAATAATAATAATAATAATAATAATAATAATAATAATAATAATAATAATAATAATAATAATAATAATAATAATAATAATAATAATAATAATAATAATAATAATAATAATAATAATAATAATAATAATAATAATAATAATAATAATAATAATAATAATAATAATAATAATAATAATAATAATAATAATAATAATAATAATAATAATAATAATAATAATAATAATAATAATAATAATAATAATAATAATAATAATAATAATAATAATAATAATAATAATAATAATAATAATAATAATAATAATAATAATAATACGGTACATTTACAAGTCTTGTATAATTTAGAGGTTGATAATTTATATTATTGTTTTAAAAAATTGATCGAACTGAGCTTATCAACCGATTGAACTAGACACTTGACTAGAAATGGATCTATTTCTTCCAAACAATCGGACTTTAATTAAATCAGGACAAAGTCAATAAAACCAAAAAACTAGTTAGATTTTTGGATCCAACGGGTTTTAGTTAAAAAAAAAACAAAAATAAGATCAAATTTTTTTAATATAATTTTTTTTATAAAAGATATAATACATTTTTTTATCTCATATTAGTTACGTTAATTTTAGATGACAGTTATTTATTATATTTTTTTATTTTATTTTAACAATTATCCATTTTCACTCTCTAATATATTTTATATTTATAACTTTAACTATATATGACAATAATCTTTATTATTTTTTTTATATAAAAGACATTATTATTAATAAATTTATTATATATATATATATATTATATTATAAAATTGTTATTTTATTAAATCTAGTTGAATTCTCATTGAACCTTTAAATCTTAAACTCATGTCTTCAACTATTTGGTAATCCAATTTTAAAAATATTGATTTATATATATCATCATCTCTTAATTTATCGAGACGTCTTTTAAAAACAAAATCGCAATAGATATTAATTCTAAAGTGAACATTACCTTTAACATAAAAATTGACCATAATAATGTTATTATAATTAACATGTGATCAAGATATTCTCATTCTTAAATATAACAAATAATAATAATAATAATAATAATAATAATAATAATAATAATATTTGATATGATTTAAATATATGTTATTAATTAATTATAAGTTGGAAGCTTAACATGGTATTAGAGCTAAATTTTAACTTTCTTTTATAAATTATTTATAATTTTACTTATTTATAGGAGGAACATTTCCATAAATTATAATTTCACGATATTAATTTTTAAATATTATAATTTTAAAGATTTTTTACAACAACTATTTTATCATCTCATTAGAATTACTATAAACACAATGCATGATTAAATGATCATAAAGAAGACTGTTACTAAGTTAGTATATTGAAATTATTTGTTTATAATAGTCTTATGTAACCCGAAATCATTTCATATAGTTTTTTAAGTAAATAAATAAATAAAAATAATAACCCTGCCGTAAATGTTAATTATGTTATAATAAATAAAATTATAAATTCATAGTGTGGATACATTATAATTTAATTTTTTATACTAGTTTAAAAAATAGAATTTATTAATGTGTGCTTTTAAAAGTAGTTAGGAAACAAAATAGAAATGTTCTGCTAATAAAAAA